TCCTGCAAATGCTGATGCTGGGAGGTAGCAATGATGACTCAAGTCACTGGATTCCCGCCAATCATGTGGGAGGCATGGGAGGAATTCTAGACTGAATTCCTGGCTCCCAGCTTTGGCTGGCTTAGTCCTGGCTGTGGTCGCCCTTTAGGGAGCAAACCAACAGATGGGAGTTCTTAATCTCTTTTTCTGTCCTCTAAATAAACACAGGTTTTTAAGATAAAGGCATTCCTATTACCTACCCTGCTCATTCAAAGCAAAAAGAAAGTTGAGGGTGTAGAGGGGGAAGCCTTAAAATACACATCAGATAAAAGAATTTACAAGTGAAAGAGAAGCAGAGGAAGCAGCAAACAGGAAACAGAGAATTCAAGGAACGCTTCTGTTTAGGCGTGGAGCTGTGGAGGACGTGGAGTCAAGGGAAGGCTGCAGTCAGATGTGAGGGTGAGCTGGCCACCTCGGCCACAGAGAGGCAGTGGCAGAAATCAACTCAGACAAGAGAATGACTGGCAGACTGCCCAACCAAAGCACGTGAAGGAAATCGGAACCTGCTAGGAGCTCCCACAGACAGCTGGGTGTCTAAGTGCTGTTCTGACAAAGCCCCAGAACAGAGTGGACCTTGGATATCAACAACCCCTCACTTTACAAATGGGGAGGAGGCCCAGGAGCAGCATTAAGTGACTTGCCTGAAGTCTCACACTCAGGGGAAGAATTGGGACTAGAGCCAAATCCAGATTTGGTCTGTTACTGAGAAAGATCCAACATTCATAAGAGGAATGGAGAGAAAGAGGTACGGCCAATCGGTCTGCCCCAAACAGAGCCTGAAACAGAATCATGCTGGAAAAGAACATCGGCAGGAGACAGGTACAGATAAAAAGACATTCAGAATGCAAAACCACATCTGAGACTTGGAGTAGACTCTTAGCACAGAAGAGAGGAAGACATCTTCTTGCCCTCACTACTGCCCTCAGGACCACCCATTTGCGGGACAAGCCAGCAGCTTCTATTCCATACCCAGGCTCCTACCTTGACCTATCTTGACTTCAGCCTTGTCCCACACCCAGTTCCAGAACCCAGAAAACCAGACAAGATTCCTTGTGAATTACAATACTGCTGACCCTGCAGACTCCCCAGTCACAACAGAAGCAAGCTGGTTATGTAGTAACTGAAGAATGATTCTATGTTAAGACATTCAAACAAGAATTATTTAAATATTTAAGTATCACCAAAATCCTAAAGTCTTTGTCATGGTTTAAAAGCTAAATATTGGGGTAAGTATTGTGCATATCAGGTTAAGCCCTAGCCTGTAACAATGGCACCCCACAAGGGTGTTTTATGCCCCAGCTGCTCTGCTTCCAATCCAGCTCCCTAAGTAGCCTTGGGAAAGCAGAAGATAACTCAAATATTTGGGATCCTACATCCACCTGGCAAAAAGGATGAAGCTCCTGGCTTTGGCTTACCCAGGCAGGCATGGCCAGGGCAGCAATTTGGGAACTATGAACCTAAGGATGGAAGATCTTTCTAACTATGCCTTTAAAATAAATATATCTTAAAATTTAAAAAAAAAAATTTAAACATTAGAATCACTGTAAATGAGTATTAATGAGTCTTCAGAAGGGGTCAGTGGCCTTCCACAAACTTTAAGAATGTCTGAATATAGGGCCCGGCGCGATGGCGCAGTGGTTAAGGTCCTCGCCTTGCACGCCCACGATCCCATACGGGCGCTGGTTCTAATCCCGGCGGCCCCACTTCCCATCCAGCTCCCTGCCTGTGGCCCAGGAAAGCAGTCAAGGATGGCCCAAGGCTTTGGGACCCTGCACCTGCCTGGGAGACCCAGAAGAGGCTCCTGGCTTCGGATCGGCACAGCACCGGCCGTTGCGCTCACTTGGGGAGTGAATCATTGGACAGAGATCTTTCTCTCTGTCTCTCCTCTCTGTATATCCGCCTTTCCAATAAAAATTTTAAAAAAAATGAAAAAGAATGTCTGAATATAGCACAAAATGAAAACCACTACAGCAGCAGAAAGCTAACTCCCATTTTCCTATTTTTCACAGAGAAATCTTTGGCTTTGTATATGGAAACTCACTACTCTGATGTAACTGAATAACACCAGCATCACACGCAAGTCAGAGACACAGACACTTGGGCTCACCACAGACATACCAAAATCAGAATCAACATTTTACCAAGACCTCCAGGTGACCCATACAAACATTTAAGTCCGACAGGCACTTTAAGGGTGCAGTACTTTAGAGCAGTACACAGATGGAAGCATCAAACAGTCGAAGAGAAAGGAAAAGTATATATAAAAAGAGAGAGAGAGAGAGAGAAAAGTACCTGTTTACTTTCAACATACCATGTTTTATTATTTACTTCCTAGACCTCCAATGTTTTTTGGTAATTGCAGTACCCACTAAGGATCACATGATCTCAGGGTGGAATCTATTTCACTTCCTGAAATAATATAACTTGCTTCCATGGTTTTCATGGATAATATCTTAAGTCACTCTGAAAATACAATGATAGTTCATTTCATTCAGGTTCTAGCACAGAGTTCAAGGCAATTCCCCACAAGCTTCATTAACTCCTACAGGTTCCTGGGATTATCACTGAAATCCTCCAGCATCCCCAAGAAGCAGCTGCTTGGCAAACATCCAGTTCCAGATGCGACTGAGAAAGACTTGCTCCTGGAAATGCATTCTTTTCCTGCCTGGTCTCAATGAAGAAGCTTCCAAGACCCAAACTCTTCCCCCTGCCTAGGCCCCGTGCAGCTGCACATCTAGTACCGGCCCAGAGGCAGAGAGGTCAGAGGAGTTGTTATTCCCTAAGCATTTAGGATTCCAGCTGTGAAGAAAGTAATCAGAGCCCCTAGAAACATCTGGAGAGGCAGTTGAGAAAAAAAAAAAGGAACCTACAGGCTCTAAGGAGCCAAGGCACCTGCAGACTTTCAAGTGGGTAGGGAATGAGGATACAAGACACAAGAGAGGAAAACAGGGAGCGAAAAACAGCCATCCTTCTCTTGGTCCACGAGAACAAACAGTGCCCAAGTAAATTCCTCCAAATGACCTCTTCTCGTGATACAAGGCGGGGGGGGGGGGGGGGGAAGCAAACTTAGCAAAGTAGTTTATGGACTAGAAGCAATACAAATCGAGAAAAAAAAATCCTGTAGGTGTTTTTTGGCTTTCCCTCCCTGCCCCCTTCCCCACTCCATCCTACCCCCAGGTAAGGAAAATGAAGCAAAGGAGAAAACAGAACCCACCTAACCAGAACTTGACAGAAAGCAAACCACCAAGAGAATTAATTATCCTATGAATAACCAATTGCAGGCAGGGGTTTTTTCTTCCATTTGACCCCTGGGCTAGGAAGCCAGGCCAGGCAGAGATGGAGGCTTCCCCCAGCACACAAGCCAGAGAGCACAAGATTCCACAGCCTCTCAAAGCAGAACAGTTTCCACCAGGAGAAACAAAATAAATAAATAAATAAATATTAGATTTAGCCAGCCAGAGAAAGAGCTTTGTTTGCAGATGAAAGATAAACTAGACAAGGTGCACGCAGTGTGCAGGCAATCCTTTAGCAAAGGGATCCTGGAACGGTAGCTGGGGTGTCTTCAGCAGCTCTGACCCTAGAAATGCAAACAGGAATTAAAAAAAAAAAAAAAAAAAGGCGGCGAAAGTCCTGCGCTGAACAAAGATACACACTCACCAGAGGAAGAGGAAATGGGTGCACTGACCAGCCTGGAAGAACACCTACTGGGAAACGAAGCCCCCAAGCGGGAGGGAAAGAGAATATCTGGCCTGGAAGAAGAGCCTTAAACGTAGGAAGGCAGGAACCACGGGAGAATGAAACTGAGGGGAAGTGTGCCCACCAGACCCAAGAAGCCCCAGGCGCATCTGGAGGACTAAGGACACACTATCTGACATGCACAAAATCCTGCTGGAAGGAAAAACTGGTCTGGGGAACTCCTTAAAAAACCAAACAAAAAAAAATGTTACCCCGAAAGAGAGAGCGACAAGACAACAAATTTCCTTACTTATGATATGGAAATTAGGTACTCACAAACTTCAGGACTTTGCTTTGATGTCTGATACACTAAAAATCAAGTGAAGTGTACCCCACCCCCAGATCTGAAAGATTAAGGAACTAACCTCGAAACTCAGGAAATTCTGGGAAGAAATTCTGGAAAACATGCTCTCAGATTTAAGACCAGGAAAAAAGGAACGCGGGCAATCTAAGCAAATATCCCAAAACACTGGTGATGGACCACACTTGAGGGACCCCGCGACGGGGCGAACCTCCAAATTACAGGAGTGCGTGTTAAGATTTGGAAGGAACCTTGAAAAGGAAGTGTGCTCCGGTTTGAGGTGAAGGGGGTAAGGGCGTAATCCCTCAGTTTGAAGAGCTTCAAGAATTACAAAATTCCAGAGTTGGAGCTCAAGAAACAGGGTGCATGGCCCAGATATTCAAAACTACAGAAAGGGGACACTCCCATATTCGGGGTCTCGAGAAAGGGGCGTGCTACACCCGGAATAATACGAGTCAATAAAAGAAAACGCGTTCTCAAACCACAAGGCAACCTCAGGGGGGCGGTAAGGTAATGAGGGCACCCAGGGGCCACATCACCCAGGCTCTGCCCCAAGCTCTGAACCCCACACACACCCCCACACCCCAGCTCGGCCCGCTCCGCGCCCCGGGCCCGCACCCCGCGGCCCAGCCCCCTCGGGCGGCGTTGATTGGCTGCGGCCCCCGTCACTCCCGCGGGAAGCGCCGGGCATTGGGCGCCGCTCGCACGCCCGCCACGCTCTCGGCAGCGGTCCCCGGGCCTCCCTCAGGGCTGGGCGAGCGGAGGCAGGCGGGGGAGCGGGGCCGGCCAGGGGACCGGAGCAGCGGTGCCGTCCGTCACGGCTCCCGCCCGAACGGCGGGGGCGCGCGCGCACGCGGCGCGGGACCCGGCCCGACCGGGCCCCGGCCAGCCGGCTTCGCCTCGCCGCGCCGCGCCACGAGCTCACCTCACGGCCCCGCTCCTGCTGCGCCGCTCCAGGACCAACCGACAGAAGGACTCTGCGTGCCGCGCACCACGTGACCCCAGGGACGCGCCCAGCGTATCCCCCGCCCCCCACACACACGCACCCTCGCCACCACCGGGTGACGCAGCGCTCCAGCTGCCCCGCCCAGGCCACGCCCACTGCCCTGACGCGCGGGAAAGCGGGCCGGCAGCCCAAGGGGCACTCGAAGTCCGCCTGCACCGAGGAGCTGCTCAGATGGCAAAAAGGCCGCGAAGAGCCCCTCGCCCTCACCTCCAAGCTGGCGCCACGACGATGCAGACCACCATGGCCTCTGTCCAAAAGGACGGTGGTCTCCACCCAGTTTCCGTTCCCGCATTGACAAGGAAAATGAGAACTGTTATCCTCTACTCAACATCCTTTTCCCTCTTTTCTCCGAGTTAGTACCTAGACTTGCTACCAGGATCTTGGGTGTCTGGATGTACCTCCTTCTTGTGCTTATGCCTCTTTTCAAGTCCTCAAGCATTAAGGTTCTTTCTCACCTCAGGGCTTTGTCACTCCTCTGCCTTAGGGTCATTAATTCCTAGGAAAGGATTCCAAACACTGCTGAGAAAATGGAACCATACTTTTGTCCCCAGGGACCAAGACACACCTGGTAAAGCCCCGATAAAATAATCAAGATTACTTAAGCTGGCAATGCTGACTTTTTTAGAAATTGATTTATTGGGCCCAGCATGGTAGCCTAGTGGATAAAATCCTCTCCTTGCACCCACCTAGATCTCATGTGAGCGCCAGTTCTAATCCTACTTCCCTCCCAGCTCCCTGCTTGTGACCTGGGAAAGCAGTGGAGATGGGCCCAAAGTCTCAGGATCCTGTGCCCACCTGTGAGAACAAGCTCCTGGCTCCTAGCCTCAGGTTGGCTCAGCTTCAGCTGTTGAGGCTGCTGGGGAGTGAATTATCAGAACGAACATCTTCCTCTCTGTCTCTCCTCCTCTCTGTATATCTGACTTTCCAATAAAAATAAATAAATATTTTTAAAATGATTTATTGGGCCCCTGTGCAGTAGTCTAGTGACTGAATCCCATATGAGCAACGGTTCATAATCCCTGGTGCTCTACTTCCCGTTCAGCTCCCTGCTTGTAGCCTGGGAAAGCAGTAGAGGAGGGCCAAGGCTTTGGGATTCTGCATCCACACACGGGCAATTTGGAAGAAGCTCTTGGCTCCTAGCTTCGAATCAGCTCAGCTCTGGGCATTGCGTTCATTTGGGGGGGTGAACCAGCCATGGAAGATTTTTTCTGTATCTTTCTGTATCTCCTTTCAAATAATGTGTATGTGTATATATTATATGCTTTTTAATGTTTTCTCTAAGTTTTGTAAGTCTTTATAAAATACTAATTTTTAAAAATTTTTATTGGAAAAATAAGTGTACAGAGAGGAGAAACAAAGATGTTCCATCCACCAGTTCACTTTCCCAAATGGCCATAATGCCCACCTTGTGTCCCTAATCTTAGTAGTGCCCACCTTAAAACAACTTGTCAGTTTCCCCATCTGCACTATATTCTGTCCAAACATTTATTTATTTATTTATGATCTTACATAGTTGATTAGGGTACAAAGGGTTAAGGGCTACAGAAAAGTGGGTAAGACCATTGTTTCCATACTAATATCATCATTTTTTCCCCCTGTATCAGGGGTCAGGGGAGAAACCCCACCCAGCCTCCCACCCATCCCAGGTCCCCAATGTGGGGCATGCTCTGAGGGTCCTGCTGAAGCTGTTTTGATAATTCAACAGTTCTGAATTGCTGCCAATCTCGCCACTCCAAGCACATTGAAATCTATTCAGACTCCCCTGGTTGACATAGTCTCTCCATGGTTGGGGTTCTGAGATCAGCAGTTCAGTTGGAGGGATCTCCAAAGAAACTTTGTCTGAGGTGATCCCAGACCTGATTCTTGTGTGCTTGCCAGTAGGGCCTGGCACAGTCCGTCGCCCCAATCAGCTTATGCATATGCTGGTCATTGCAATTGCTGGGTCAGTTCTGTTTCCAGCCCTGTCTTCCATGCAAACTGATGGATATTGCAGTCCAGTCCAATCCTGCCCACTTCATACTCACCAGACAATGTAGTCTACCAGGTCTTCCATGTGGTCTTGCCTGGGGACTTTGGGAAGATCATGAAAAAAGTAGCTATAAATAAATGCTCACATCCTTATTATGGGCTCTACTGTGTATATCTTTAAAGTAACTATGACCATTCAACAAATTATGTGTTTCTAATTTCCTGGTGAGGAGGACTGGTCAGGACTGCCTTGGTCTTTGCCTTGGTCAGGACTGCCTCTCCCTCGGTCTGTGGTTGCTGACACCTGCTGTTTCTCTGCTGTTTCTACACAGGATCTCGCCCATCTTGTGTGCCTTCAGACATGACAGTTTTGAACTATAGATGTCCCTTCATTATATTCTGCTTAGTTTCTTCCTCCTCAAAGCTCATGTTAAGTTCCTGCTCTGTCTTACAGCAGGATGAGTTTGGGAGGGGTTCAGGCATTGGGATTGGGGCAACTGCAGCTCCCTGCAGTGTGGTGGCTATGGGAGGTGCCCCAGTCAGGCCGGACCCAAAGCTGGGAACTCAGGCCAAAGCCACTGCCAAAAGGCAATGACTGAGTCCTAAGCTTTGGGCGGTGAACTCTGGGGTCTTTAGGATATATAATTGCTACCTAGAGACACCCATGAATAAGGCCAATGTTAGTGTAGGTGAGAGATGAAGTGTGGGTGACTCCCAGTAACAGGGTCACAAAACTTTTGGGCAAGTGTGGGGACCTAGACCTGATGGTTTGGAGGGAGTGTCCATAAGATCTATTTGGGCCAGACTGATTCACCAGCCCAATTAGGAATCCTGAGATGGGCTATTAACATAGAGCATCACTAACTGCCACACACCAGTCCACACCAAAGCTATGGATGGGGGCCTGTCTGGCAAGGCTAGGTATCAGTACCTGACTGGGTGGTGGAATAGTGGACTGGTCACATTCGTCAGGGTCAAGACACTAACCAGCACGCAAGAGAACTAGGTCTGGGGGTAGATTCTGTGGGGGAAGTGTAGGCACAATCCTGTGGAAATAAAAGTCTCGCTGGTTAGCTCGCGAGCTGGGGTGGTGATGGGCTAAGTTAGGTGTGACCATGGCACCTGCCATCACTTACGGGTAAAGGAACCGATAGCAGTCTGGGCAGGTCAAGCCAACAGCACCCAAAGGTGTATCCTAAAATAGGATGTGGGGTGGGCTGAGCTGCAACTGAGAGGGGACAGACTGGGCAGGCCTAGCAAACATCAACTCACAAGAAAGAACAGAAATCAGGATGGAACACATGTCATGCCGAACTAGGCTCTTACACCAACTGGTCTGTGTGAGCCAGGGATACTAGGCCACAACATCGAAGGCAAAGGCTGAGACAGGTGAGGGGCTAAGCCAACTGGGTTAGAGCAATCACTGGCACGCACGTAATTTAGGGCTGAGAATAGACTCAGTTGGATAGCAGTGAGAGTACACCCTTGCTGGGTTCGAGTTGCCATGGGAGAGTGCAAGGGCCGGAGTGGGGGCTGTGTTCTAGTCTGGATATGGCTACAATCTCCCTTGGCACAAGTGTGGACTAGGGCTGCGCGCACCAAGCTGGGCTAGATGCCAACACCATCTGGTGCTCTGGAGAACCTGGGTAGATGTAGGATGGACTAGGCTGGGTCTCTGCCCCTACTGAGCCATGTGTGAGCAGAATCTGGGTATGGACAAGTCTTGGCTGGGCTGAAACATCTAACAGTAAGAACTGGAACGGATTGAAGGCCAGCAAGGAGAGCTGGCCCATGGAACCACCAGTACGCCCAAAATCTAGCATAGGGAGAGGTTCTCATGAAGGAGCTTGGGAAACTCCTCTGTCGGGACACAGCCCCTACAGGTGAACGCAAGAACCACAATAGGAAGCAACCCAGAAAAGGCCAGAGAAGGATACCCACCTGCATAAATATTAGCCCATTCAAATCACCTGCTGGTGAATCCGAGCACCAGAATAGAGTGTGGGTTGGGCCCGATTCAGTCACAACACAAAGCAGTGCACGTTAAGGAATGCCAAGGTAGGGTGAACCGTACCAGATGTGGTCACTGCGCCCAAACAGCACAGGTGAGAACCAGGTGGGGAGGGGGCAAAGCAGTTAAAGTCCTCGCCTTAAACCCGCCCGGGATCCCATATGGGTGCTGATTCTAATCCCAGCAGCCTTGCTTCCCATCTAGCTTCCTACTTGTGTCCTTGGGATCCTGCACCCATGTGGGAGACCTGGAAGAAGCTCGTGGCTTCAGATTTGCTCAGCTCCAGCCGTTGTGGCCACTAGGGAAGTGAACCATCAAATGAAAGATCTTCCTCTCTGTCCCTTCTCCTCTCTGTATATTCGCCTTTCCAATAAAAATAAAATAAATCTTTATATAAAGATTTAAGACCTTGGATCCCTGCCGCTCAAGTGGCATTTCAGAGAGAAGTCCAGGTTCCTGCCTGAGGCCTTGCCCAGCCCTGAGTGTTGTGACCATTTTGTAAATAAAACAGAACATGAAAAAACTCTCTCTACCCTCTCTGTCTTTCCCCTCTCTTCTGTGTCACTCTGCCTTTCAAGTAAATCTTTAAAATAAACTAATAAATAAAAGCAAAGAATAAAATAAAAATTCCATATTTTGACATCCAGAAGCATTGAGTCAGCAGTTCAAATGCAGGAAGAAAGGACCTTCCCAAAATCCTTTGCATTTATGCTAACATGCAATTACTTAGATGTGAGTGGCTGTTTCTAACATAGATTTTTGCCCCTGAAACACAATAATGCAAAGAATCCCTAACTTGTGCCAGATATTGAGACACAAGGGGTTAAGCCCTAGCATGAGAAACCCATGTGGCCCAGCTGAGAGATTGAGTCCAGGCTACTCCACTACCAACTAATGCACCTGGGAAGCAACAGCTGACTCAAGAAGCTAAGTTCTTGCTCCATACTGGGAAACTCAAACGGATTTCGTGGCTCCTGGCTTTGGCTGGACCTGTTCTAGCCATTTGGGGAGTGGAACAGTCAATAGAAAACCTCTCTGTGTGCATCAATCTGACTTTCAAATACATTTTTTAAAAAGATTTACCTATTTTTTTATTAGAAAGTCAGATTTACAGAGAGGAGAGTCAGGGTCCTGCACGGTAGCAGTCGAGGATGGCCCGAAACGTTGGAACCCTGCACCTGTTTGGGAGACCCAGAAGAGGCTCCTGGCTTCAGACCGGCACAGCTCCAGCCGTTGTGGTCACTTGGGGAGTGAATCATAACATGGAGGATGATCCATATGCAAGCACAAGCAAGACAAGGACTTTAGCCATTAGGCTAACTAGCCAGGCCCTCAAATAAATTCTTTAAAAAATTTTTTAAATAATAATAATTCCAGTTCTACAACTCCACACACATATAGTCTGTTTTCCCACCCATTTACTTTGCATATGATAAGGATCAAAGTTGAGCTGAGCACTGAACACACAGAGCAACGTGTGATTAAGGGCCTGAGAGCAGGAAGCTCATGGCGTGGTGAAGCAACCATCAGCTGTTCTAAGTCAAGCTTCATTTTGTCTGTTACAAGTACAAGCAGCGACATAGTCATAAGGACAAGCCAAAGAGAAATCTATTCCAGGGATGCAGGGGCACTGAGCAGCCACAGGAGGGCTGGCCTGGCAGACAGGCAGGCGTAAGGGCAGTTGAGCAAGAAGCAGCCACAGGCGGCACTGTTAGCACCCACACAGTGCACCACTGCTGCAATTCAGTCCTTTGTCTTTTTTTTTTTTCCAGGGGAAAGTGCAGACGCAGTCTCCCACTACCACAAATTACGCAGTTGACTTTCACACATTTGGAGAAATCGCTAGAGTCAGCATATCTAGAGTGCAATGGATGCACTTCACCCTGGGAAAACCACCTTGGTGATCATGGTATCTCCTTTGCCAGGTAAGTATAGTTCTTTGTCTATGAGACTTTGGTTTGGGAGGTGAAGTCTTGGACCACAGCCATTATTCGTTGGCCAATCTTAGGTCACATGGGATGACTCCTTACTGCCAGGGAAAAGAAAGAGAAACGATCTGCCCCTAAGGGTATATATTCCAAGGACAGAAAGAGTTGGGGGGTAAGGGTGTGAATAGAGATAGTTGAAGGAAACTGATACTGACAGGTCAAAAACAATTTAATACAGTTAAGAATAAACTACTTAGGAAGTTAAGCTCTTTCTGATTAAAAAACTTAGAGGCTGGCATCATGGCACAGTGGGCTGGGCCACTGCTTGCAATACTGCCATTCCATATAGGTGCAAATGCAAGTCCTAGATATTTCACTTCTGATCCAACTCCATGCTAATATGTCTAGGGATGACAACAGCGGACAGCCCAAGTACCCAAGTCCCTTCCACTTCTGTGGGACATCTGAAAAGACTTCTAGGCTCTTGGTTACAGTCTGGCCCAGCATTAGAAATATTTAAATATTTAAAATAGTTGTTAACAATTAAAAAGAACTTCAGATGAGACAAGGTACACATGAGTATCTTGTCTCATCCTGTATCCAACAAAACTTGTTAGACTCTTTGTGCAATCCCAAGGCATTAACGCTGAGTCTGACAAGGAAAAGGAGGGAACCAAAACAAGACAAGTTCTCACCAACTACAGGTACCCCAAGCTTGAGCAGCTCAGTCCCCAAAGCAGGAACTGCAGGGAGATCTCTACAGCCACAAGTATGAGAACTCAGGAAACCGGAAGCCACAGTCAGAGTAAGAGGTCAAAGAATCAAACCCGCAAAGCACCAGGGGCCCAAGGAAGGTAGGCGGAGGCTCTGCCTTGGCCACAGGTGCTCCAGCCTGGGCTTGATAGAAAGTTCTGAGTTTCCAGCCCTTATCTGCAATATTACAAGATTATAAGTAGAAAGAGACACTTCTACTTTTTGTCCTAACCACTAAAAAGCCTGATAATTCCAGCCATACCACACTAAGAACAAGATCTATATCTTGCTTCCCTTTGTCCCCTGAGAGTCCCAAGACCTAGCACTGGTTCCTATCACAAAAGCAGTTTTATTTATTTTTTCACTTGCAGATTCATTGAATAAAATATAGGTACCGGCAAATTAATAACATTGTGAAAGGAACACACAAACCAAATAGCTATGCCCTAGACAACTGTTGCCTGAGAAAGACTACCATTTCATATATACACCAAACAGAATTTAGGATACATGTTTAATGATGGGAGGAACAAAAGCAGATTCGATAAGCATTTCTTGTAGATTGACACTTCAGGCAGCTCAGTGCTAGACAAAGAGGAAAGGGTTTTACCCACAGGCGATGAAGGGAATGGAAGTTATTAGGATCAAACAGCTTCCACGTGTTCTACTTCCCCAATTATTATATAATTTAATTTTTATTTCTTTGAAATGCAGAGACCAGGGGATGGCACATGGCGTACTAGGCTAAGCCTCTGCCTGCAGCATCGTCATCCGATATAGGCACCAGGTTCAGATCCTGGCTGCTCCACTTCCGATCCTGTGGACAGGATGATATAAGATCTCTCTCTGTCCTTCTCTCTCTGCCTTTCAAATACAATAAATACATGAAAAAAGTCTTTTAAAAAAAATACAGAGACCAATAGAAAGAGCCTTCATCCACTAGTTCTGTCAAAACCCCAGAGACTCAGAACTTGGTCCAAGTATCCCATGTGGGTAGCAGGAATCCAGGGATTGAAGCCATCACCAGGGCTTCACAGGGCGCACATCAGGAGGAAGCTAGAATTCTAAGTAAAATCAGAACTTGGATCCAAGCTGCCAGTGTCCCAAGCACCACTCCCGGATGCACCCTTGTGATTTTTTTTAAAAATATTTATTTATTTGCATTGAAAAGACAGATTTACACAGAGACAGAAAGCTCTCTAGTCCACTGGTTCATTGCACAAGACCACAAAAGCCAGAATTGAGCTAATCTGAAACTAGAAGCCAGGAACTTCATCCAGGCATCCCATGTGGGTACAGGGTCCCAAGGCTTTGGGCCATCCTCGACTGCTCTCCCAAGAAGAAGCAGGGAGCTGGATGGGAAGTAGAGTAGCTGGGGTACAATCTGGTCCTGGCACACTGAAGTATTTAGAAACTAAGCCATCCCAATAGGCCCATACATAAATCTTTTTATTAAAAATTTTTAATTACCTTGTCCAGAGGGAAATAAAACATATAAAGTACAAGCCATTAATAAAACATAATAAATTAATTAAAACATTAAAATTTGGGCCCAGTACAGTAGCCTAGCAGCTAAAGTCCTTGCCTTGCATGTGCCAGTTTGATCCCATTTGCTCCACTTCCCATCCAGCTCCCAGCTTGTGGCCTGGGAAAGCAGTTGAGGATGGCCCAAAGCCTAGGGACCCTGCATCCACATGGGAGACTTGGAGGAGGTTCCTGGCTCCTGGCTTTAGATAGGTTCAACTCCAGCCATTCCAGTCATTTGGGGAGTGAACCAGCAGATGGAAGATTTCTCTGTATTTCTCTCTTTCTAATAAAAATAAATAAGTCAGTAAATAAAAATAAAAATAAAAATACTCAGTTTAATCTTCAAAAAAAGTAGAGAAGTAGGTTAGGCATAAGAGTACCTAGGATTCCCTGTGATGACCTTTTTCTCTAATTCCTGATCCTTTCCTTGCTTGTGCTATTTACAGCCTGGAATCTGGACTCCAGATTGGACTTGGATACTTGTACAGGTCAAAGGAACTGTGGGTTGGGCTGTGGAGGATTAAGTGAAAGAAGTGAGATTTTAAAAGTGCAGGGCAGCAGAAAGGAGGGGGGGTACTCTTGGATCTTAGTGGGCAAAGGAAAAAGGGATCCTGACGGGTCTTCCCAGCTGTCCATTTCTATCTCTGTTGGCCCTTTTTGACTTCAAATGCACATGATTACTGAGATGTAATCAATCAGGCTTTTGTTCCTAGCCATACAATTCTCTAAACCCATACAATCCTACTTTTTCAATCACTTGACTTTTTTTCAATGCACAAGGATTTTATTGAGGCATTGTTTGTAGGAATCTGAAAAACCCTATGAATGATCATTAGTAGAGGTTTATTTATTAAAATGTTGTTTATAAACATTGCGAACAAAGTGAATGGCCCCTCTTTGTTGCCCTGCTTCCCCTCCATGCTGTCACATTTCAGGACTGTTTCTAAGATCATCCTGTTGCATGTATATTGTGGATAGGATACCAGCGTCTATATTTTTATAAATTTTTGCATTTTATTTTTTAAAGATGTGGACATTTTTTGAGATTTATTTGTTTGTATTGGAAAGGCAGATTTAAGAGAGAAGAAGACACAGAAAGAAAGATCTTCATCCGCTGGTTCACTCCCCAAATGGCTGCAATGGCTGGGGCTGAGCTGATCTGAAGCCAGAGCCAAAGGCTTCTTCCAGCTCTCCCATGTGGGTACAGGATTCCAAGGTCATCCTCAACTGCTTTACCAGGCCACAAGCAGAGAGCTGAATGGGAAAGAGAGCAGCTGGGACAGGAACCAGGGCCCATATCCGATCCTAGATGATACAAGGCAAGAATTTAGCCACTAGGCTTTTTCTTGGTTTCCCATGTAAATGCAGGGTACCAGGGCTTGAGCCATTCTCTGTCACTTTCCCAGGCCATAAGCAGACAGCTGGATCAGAAGTTGAGAAGCCGGGCCTGGCAACGTAGCCTAGCAGCTAAAGTACTCGCCTTGAACATGCCAGAATCCCATATGGGCGCCGGTTCTAATCCCGGCTGCTCCACTTCCCATCCAGCTCCCTGCTTGTGACCTGGGAAAGCAGTCGAGGAAGGCCCAGATCTTTGGGACCCTGCACCTGCATGGGATACCCGGAAGAAGTTCCTGGTTCCAGGCTTCGGATCGGTGCAGCACTGGCAGTTGCGGTCACTTGGGCAGTGAACCATCAGACAGAAGATCTTCCTCTCTGTCTCTCCTCCTCTCTGTATATCTGCCTTTCCAATTAAAAAAAATAATAAATCTTTAAAAAAAAAAAAAGAAGTTGAGAAGCCAGGAGGTGTACCAACACCCATATTGCAGGGAGAAGATTGACTTGTTGAGTCACTGTGCCGGCCCCCACAATCTTGAATATGAAAGGCTGAGTCAATTTTTGTTTTGTTTAACTTCATATCCCTGGTGCATGTATTGCTAGAAATAAGTGATGGCAGTTTTTCTTTTAATTTTCAAGATTTATTTATTTGGAAAATATATTTTCAATCTATTGCTTCACTTCCAAGAAGACCTCAATAACTGAGGCTAGGCCATACTAAAGCCAGGGACCTGAAACTCAATCTGGTTCTCAACACAGGTGGCAGGGTCCCTCGCGTTCAAGGAGAGGATTTTAGCTGCTAGGCCATGCCGCCGGGCCCTAACCGACCTTCTAAATGTGAGATTCCTTGTTCAGAACTTTTCAGGGCCTGGTGCAGTAGCCAAGCGACTAAAGTCCTTGCCGTGCACATGCCAGGATCCCATATGGGCACCGGTTCTAATCCCAGTGGCCCTGCTTCCCATCCAGCTCCATGTTTGTGGCTTGGGAAAGCAGTCGAGGACAACCCAAAGCTTTGGGACCCTGCACCCATGTGGGAGACCTGGAAGAATCTCCTGGCTCCTGGCTTCGGATCTGCTCAGCTCCAGCTGTTGTAGCTGCTTGGGGAGTAAACCATCAGGCTGAAGATCTTCCTCTCTGTCTATCCTCCTCTATTTTGCAATAAAAATTAATTAATTAATTAAAGAACTTTTCAGTAGCCTACCAATAACTGGCTTTCTGAGATGAAGGACACAGCTGTTGATCTGCTGCATTTGTAGATAACGCGGTCTAAATATACTTAGTGTAGGCAATGTCAAGCTGCGAAGGTGAGGGAGATACACAGAATTCCTGAACATTCAATTATCAGCTCCTGAGTAGGTAAAAGCCAGCTGGTGATCACTGCATAGCTGAT